GCGCTTGTCCATGGTCGCAAGCTTGTCAACTGGCTTGTCACGCTTGCTATGCTTTGAGCTGACGCCTTTGTCTTTGGGAGAGCTACCTCTAGGCTTGTCCTCATCATAAACCCGTGAGATCCCTTCCTGGATCTTCTCTCGCATGTCACGATTCTTCATCGGGCTGGTGTTGTTGCGGGGCACGAAAAGGACTCGTTGGGCTTGACAACCGCTAGTGTCAACGAGGTTCTGATACCAACTGTCACGGGGCTAATCGACGGGGCCCCGTGCAGCGCTCGATTGGGGTCGAGAAAGCCTACAAATGCAAGCAACAATACACAAAAGGAAACAAGAGTGCACACAAATTAGACAAAATGTAACTTGTATTGCATTAATCAATGGTAAGCACAAACACACAGTACAGTGTCGAGGGGATCTCGTGCTTAACCTTTACATGCTTATGAGCTCACTCGACTACCTACCTCCCATCAAAGAGTACGTTAAGCTTTTGGGGGAGTGACAAAATGATACATCAAAACACTGTACACGCATATTACTATTTACATAATTGCCATTGGCATACCCCCCTTACAAAAAGAGTACAAAGACCCAACCCAAATACTTATATGGCGTGATGATGGCGCTAATGGTGGCTGAACCGTCACAACTAGGCATTTTGCTTGTCTAATGTCTCCAAGTTGAACTCTGCGGCCGTAAGGCCACAAAGAAACAAAACCCAACTCTAAGTATCCTTGGAGATTTGGTCTTCCGTCCAATTTCAGCTGCTGCCTTGCACACCTACTCGATCATCCAATTCAGTTTGAATTGAAAGTTTTAATTTCTTTTTATTTTTTATTAGTTGAATCATGAAGAGCAAACGCATTTGCCTGCACAAAGAAGCAAAAAAAAGGGAGAGATGGTCGTTGTATTAACTATTAGGGTAATGAACAAATTTTAACTATGGGGAAAATTTCAATTTAGTAATCTGAACTCTGTGGGTGGTGTCAAGTTAGTACCCGAACCTCAAAACGTGTTATTACTTATTGTAGTGTCCAAACTTTCGAAAACTGTCAATTTAATACTGTGCATGCTCGTGATTGTCATATGTGATTTATAGCATTCTCAGATTTCAAAACTACCATTTTAAAGAAGATACTGTTTATTATCTTCTTCCTTGAAACTAAAAATAAAACAGAGCAACAATGGCCGTTTCCTCATAGTCTTAGTTCCCTGAAACTTCCTGTTATGACCCTCCTTGTTTCTAGAAAACCCATATTTGAGTTTGGACAACAGCAACCTGTCCAAATCTGAAAGATCGAGTCCATTATCTGCCTCTACTTTGGCAAGAAATTCCCAAAGAAGTTTCCTTCTTCAGACCGTCTGCTCTAATTGCAACGTCACTCTCTTGACTGACCCACTAGTTAAAGATGGTGGATTTAAAACTTTTGCCACCCTCTAAAACTTCCTCATCCTTGGCCCCCTCATCGCCACATTTCTCCCAACCCATTTCCTCATCCTTTGCAATCCCTTCACTGCAGTTTTTTCTTACTTTTCCATCCTTTCGGGACAGTTTTTCTGAACTATTTCTTCATCCTTTGCAACCTCTTCGGTAGTGTTCCCCTAGCTCAGTTCATTTCCTTCATTACCAACCACATTTTCTATTTCTAAGTTGCTATTCCCATTTTCTTGCCCTGTAAGCAAGGTTTTAAAAATTGATTCGGAAACAGAACCGTTCTATCTACTGATTTCCAGGTCAGCGGTTCGAATGGTTTGCATATTAGGGCAAATGTTTTATATGAGTTATGAGATTTGAGAAAGGAGAGGAGATGTCGGCTAAGAAAGAACGAAAGGAGAAAGGAAAAAAGAAAAGAAGAGAAATGAAAGGAAGGAGGAGGAGGGAAGGAGGGAAGAAGGAAGAGGTGGTTCGACGCTCACGGGCGATGATAATGGTGACGACGATGGCGAAGTGGCGGCAACAAACACAGATTTGAGATCTGAGATCCGAGTTCTTCTTCTTTGTCTTCTTCGTCTTCCTCAGATTTGAGACGCGAACTCAGATCTGAGACATTAACTCAGATCTGAGTTTGTGTGTTTCTCTCCTGCAGTTTTATATTGTGAACTACTGTTTTGGTCAAACGAGTCGATGGTTCAACCGCCCGGGTCAGCGATTTTTTGACATAGTCAACAGTTTTTTATCAAGGAGCAAATTAGGGGTAAAATAGAACTGATTGTTTGGACGGTTTTTGGGCCAAATGATCCGACCGTCCGAATCAACAACGGTTCAAAAACATTGCCTATAAGCACTGAAGAATCTTTCTCAGCATCCCAAAACAATCCCTCGAGTTCATTAAACACAACACCATATAGATTACTCATCAAGAATTCCGACGCATCAGGACCATTGAGACTATCATAAATGCCGACGAAGAGCCACCCGTGTTCTTCAGACATGACGTGAATCGACACCACCATTGAGACTATCCTTGGCCTTCACATGGGCCCATTAATGTTGCTATCGTTTTTTCCCTCTGGTTCACCTCCATACCCCGACATTGGACCATCTTTCCGGCCAATGAAATTATGAACCGACACCACCCAGGGTTGTTTTTTCTTCAAGAAGTTCCGGTAAAACGCCTTCCGGATCCCAGAAATCCCCTTCTTCCTCTTCTTTTTCACGTAAAAACCACCAAGTAGAGTTGAGAAAGGGACTCTCCCCCTATCAAAAGCATTGGTCACCGTCACACCAAGTGACCTGGATAGTGTGCCTCGCTCAATAGGCCCCAACATGAAGAACCCTCACTCAACTGGACCTGACGCATCGCCGCCGCATGGGATTAGCGGAAGAGCACTGGAAAAAGAGGTGCTCTCGAAGCCATTGACGACACTAGACTTTGGAACACCAACACATTCATTGGCATCGCTGTAAATAACATCATGTTGGAGGACAGTAACGTCTTTTAATTATTTTAAACTAAATTGACAGTTTTCCAAAATTTGAAAGTTCAGATACTGACTTGACACGGAAAAACTTTAGATGTTGGGACTCCTAGGCTGTTGAGAGAATTTCTGGGAATGCCACGTTATTATGAGAATGGGTAAGTTAATAATTATGTCTTGATTTATTTTGACTAAAATTAAAAGCATGGGTGTAAATAGGTGAATTGCCTAAAACGTGCCCAACCCAGAAACTGTCTCAACAGCCTATGCTGTTGGGCCCCAACAGTCAAAATTAACCCAACTTGACACTACTCCAAAGTTCAGGTGCATTGTCATAGTTGCATAACCTTATCGATTATGTACAAAAATGTATACTGTAATATCAAATGGATGTTATTATGTTTTAGCTTTGAAGGTTATATTAGTAAAAGCCCGGACTGTTTCTATGGGTGGGTTGTATTGCCTAGGGAGAATTAAGATGGAGATAAGTTCCCATATCGAGAGGATACGATAGCCCCCCTTTTGATGTAAATATGAGATTTATCTGTTTTATTATTTCATGGCTTTCCTGTTACTATTTCTAGAGTAAATCTTATTTAGGCTTTCAAAAGGGGAAATCTCTTAAGGCCCCATTTGCTTTTTGATAAGTTATTTATCTAGGTAAATGCAGTTATTTGGATAAATTTTTCTTGGAAATACTTATTCGGGTAAATGCATTTATTCATGTTCTTTTATTTCTCATGTAAATAAGGTAATGACCATTTTAGCCATAAAAATCCATTATTAAAAAGGGCATTCTTGTTTCATTCAAGTGTTGGCAACTTTCCCCTAGGTGAGAAAGTTATTTATCCACCTAGGAGATGGGCATCACTTACCCGAATAAGCGATACCTAAGAAAATAAACTTTCCTTAGTCCCCACATAAATATGAAAAAAGAACATGGGATTCTTGGTTAATGGGAACCAAAATCCCATTGACCAACTTTCCCCATCTCAAAATAAAAAAAAAAACGCCCCCTAAAAGTTAAAATTACCCCTATTCCATTTTTTATGAGGTATTCGATGCCATGCACTATTAATAACTTTCCCATAACCCATTTTTTCCAAAAGTGCTAGTTGTGAGATTCGATTCCACGTCAATACTGGAACAAACCAAGTAATAAACTAATACACCAACAGCCAACCCTCGGTTAAAAGTATTTCTCGTGGAACACATCAGGTAAGATAAAACACACCAACAGCCAGCCCTCGGGTGTATTCCCAAGTTTTAGGAAATGGAATTATGTTTACAAAATCTATTAAAGTATTCCTATGTTTTTTCACAGCCGATCAATGTTCATAGTGAAAAAAAAAACCAAGTTTTAGGAAATGGAAATCTGCTTCAATGTTCATAATACGGTGCTCATACCGTTCGCACATCCCCTTGCAGGGGGAATATCTCCTCAATGCAAGGGTGGTATGTATTTGAGAATTTAAAAAATAATAAAGGATAAAATAGATATTTCATAATTTTCTGTTGATATTTATGAAAGATGTTAATTGTAGAAAATTCAAGAATACCTTATTGTTATGTTTGATTTGAAGGAAAAAGTAGGGATTAGGAAACCTATACAATCCCTACTTTTTGGAAACAGCGGGAGTTTTTACCTTTTAATCCATTTCCTAGGGATAGTTTAATGGATTTTCCAATAAAAGAAAATGTATTGAAATTTAAGCAAATTTTTTTTTTTGTTGAATTTGGCAAGTAATACTGTAATAGCGAGTTGTGGTACGTAGGTAGGTGGGTGCCGTTGGCCAACCCAACTGTGTTATTTGGAGGGAAAGCCAAAGGAAAATGAAGTGAAGTGGACTTCTCTCTAATATGTGTGCTGTGTTGTGTTTTTTTCTATAAAAGCTAGGTTTTTCTTGTGTTGTGTTTGGGCGTTATTTATTGGTGTGTCTCATACATGATACATACTCATCGTGGATATCGAATTGACAGCGATTCAGCGGAGGATACAGGATAGAAAGACATCGAGACCCCCCATTCCCATTCCTTAATAGAGAGTTTCCACCTCCACACATGGTCTGCCCTCCCTTTATTATTATTATTTTTCTAATGGCTAAGAGGACGATTCCTTCCTCGAGATCTTCTCCTTGATCATTTCCTCCCCGAATTCTCTCCGCAATTCCATCCATCTCTGTAACACACAATACAATAGCTGTTTGCTTCACTCGTTTTCTTCTTTCTAGATTCAGATCGATTCATAGCTCCTTGCTTTGAGCTCTCTCGCTGTCGTATCGCTTTGTTGAGCTCCTCAAATCTGTCAGCATTTTGCTTCATAAATTTTTAGACATTGTTTGCTCTACCCATGGCCACTTTTTCTGTTTCCGGCCCCAAGTCCTCTGCATTTGCTCTCTGCCGGCCGCGACCACAGAATTCGCATCATCAGCACCCGAAGATCTCATTTCATTCTGCTTCTATATCAAGCTCTCCATCATTGCTTGCTGGATCTTCGCTGGAACAACACTCTTTTTCCAGACCTCAGGTTCTCTCTCTCTCTCTCTCTCACACACACACACACGCGCAGTTTGATTTTCTTTTAATGCCTAATTTTAATCGCGGGATACTTTTGTGCATTGATCGAGATGCTAATTATTCTTTCGAACTTCGACCCCTCCCCAGAAAAAAAAGGAAAATGAAAGCAGATAGTTGTTTATCTTTAGTTAGTTTTAGCATCAAATTCCCTTTTTGAGTAATCCTTCATTTATATTCTGTGTATTACACCAAGGTAAAGAGCTTTTAACTTATACATCAACTTATCTTCGGCCAATTAGCATGTTGAATCTAAAATGTAGTTAGATTAGTTACATTGCCTGAACAGCAAATAAAAAGGTTCCTTGAAATAAAAATCGCTGATTGCCCAGAATGTCCCTTCTGTGCAATTGTTTGTTAGGGATGTACTCGCTGTACAGGTTTGCTGGCAATCTAGGTTGTTCAGGACTAACATGTTATTCAACCAATGCTAGGTTCCATTCCTGTCAGTAGAGGTAATGTGCAAAATACAAGAATATGATACCTATTTCATTCAACTCTTCATGCACGTTGAAATGTGGATCGCTATTATACTTCTCTTTTCTTTTCTATTACCCCCTCTTTCCCCTTTGGTGGGTAAGCGTGGATAGTGATATGGAGTATCGTACTGTACCTCTATGATGCTTGAGAGTGCTATACCACCTTAGATTCATCAATTAGATTTTTTTAGGTGAGATTTGAACCAAAGACTTTTCAATGATCATGAAATTCTTAAAATCTTTTTGCTACCTGTAAATATTTTATTTTGCTAACCATAGTATTTCATGTTCATAATGTACATCAGCAATATATGTGCTGAGCTGAACAATTAGGTGGTCATGCTGAAGTGTGCATGATATAGTATCATTTTTTGAGAAATCCTTGGACTAGTTTCTTGGTAAATTGCAAGTACTATGATCTTTGATGTGGTAATGACATTCTGTACTTGGAATTGTGGTAGTACATTTATGTCAAAATGTCATTTAATTTTACTATTTTTTTTTTTATTTATGCTAAGTTATAGCAGTGAATAAATTTGACATATTGAGTCATTTGCTTCACCTACACTCCATCTGTATGGGATGTAACCATCTCACCATATTACATAGTGCTGCTACTCTGGTTAGACCTCTCAATGGATCTGGTCTGAACTTGATTGTGATAGACACAATCCTGACCCAACAGCAACGGGGAAATAGTCAGACCATGCCTTATCCTGATAGGGAAATAGGGTTTATAAGTAAATGGACCCAGAACCGACCCTATTATTTATCAGGTTTATCAGATCTGACCTGATAAGACCCAATTATAACCGAAGGCCTAAAGACTGGCATATTTTGCTAATAAACCAATGAACTTAATAATTGGACTAACATGCCTGGTAATTAAATAAACAAGTCTAACAAATTGCAAGCTTAGACACATTACTTGAAGATATTGCATGTAAGGAAAATAAATAAATCTAAAATGCAGGGGCATCTTTGTCATCTAATGTGTGTGTGTGTGATACTATGCTACCTCCTTAACATTTGCAAGCACTAAATAGTTTCTTGAGGGGAATGTAAACATATAGCTAGGCATTCTCATAAGATCTCATGAGGCCATGACTATTGACTATCTGGGGATAACATGTCTATGTATTAAACGGCATACTTGTAAGTTGCAATATCAATAAGGGTTTGACTATGATACCGAAAAGACATGATACTAGGAAAAACTTGTAACCAATAAACTAGTTTCATAAAAGTGGTAACCAATCGGGTGATTTTCATCAAAATTATTTTTTTTGGGGGGAGGGGGGGTTGATTGGTCAAAGCTCTTCCTGTATCATGTTTTTTGACATCATTGATTTACCCAAGCCAAAGTCTTACATGTTGGTGTTGGTGGAAATATCGGTCATCCAAATATAGGAAACATATTGGAAATGTCAGAAACTTCTATGGGAATGTTGTAAAAATCATAGATATGGTGGAAACATTGTGAAATATGCAAAAAATATAGGAGGGCGAGATTCCCTCACTCAGAGGATTACAAAAGACAGCTCTCAGAAAGTGGACTATATATCATATCCACAACAAAATATCAGCCCCTACATATAATTGTATCCCAATGGTTTATAAACATACCATCCTTGATACCCTCAAAATGATTCAGCATACCCACCCACTTTCAAAGCGTTGATTCTATTTTCCCCCAGCAACTGATTAAGAGTAGCCTTGGCTCTTGGCACAACAGTTGGATTGCTTCATTGCGACCTGGGTGACCAGGGTTCAAATCTTGGAAACAGCCTCCCTGTATGTGCAGGGGTAAGGCTGCACACATCTGTCCCACCCCAAACCTCGCATTGATCAGAGTCTCGTGCACTGGGCTTTCCTTTTAACTGATTAAGAGTAGCCGACTTAGGTTAAAAAATCCTACTGTTTTTTTTTTTTCCTTCCAGACATGCCAACATACAGAAAATTGCAAGAGATTCCATAGGATTTTACCATGGACAAAGGATTCCCCCACTCCCCAAGAAGACAGCAACATAGCTATAGAAGGTGTAACCCACTGCCTCTTAAATAGACTCAGGAAATGACTCCATATCAACCTAGTAGAAGGACACAAGATAAGCAGGTGACTTGCCAAGTCCTTCTCAAACCCATACAAGCAACACCTATTAGGCAGAGCCAAACCAATCTGGTTTCAAGTAATCAGTTGTCTGAGTTCTGTTTTGAGCAGCCGGTCATATAAAGAAGACCACTTAAGATGGAGCCCGAGCCTTCTAAATCCAGCACCAAGGAAAACTCTGCTGGCCACTCATTAAAAGTAAAAACAATATGCTACAATATTTTCTTGTAAACTTTAGGAGTCAAAACTACATGATAGAGTGAGTTAAAGCAAAATTTGAACTCATAGAAAGTGCAAATGATTCTAATAGATCAACCAAATAGTTTATTATACAATAAAAACTAAAATTTAACCTTATGCTTCAAAAGAATTTCAAGCTAGTTCAAAGTGGTAATCATGTCCATTAGGTGGGCAATAACACTGCTACTCCACTATTATAAATATTGTTGCCTACTTGTGTTATAAGACTATGTCTTGTACTCTACATAGCACCAATAGTTTTCATTGGGGAATATGTAGATTCCAGCAATGTTTCATGTAAGTACCCATGGATGTGGAAATATGCTGTGGAAATACTACATATTTTCTAGGGAAACTTGAACTAGCGCCAATAAAGGCAGCTAGTTTAAATACATCTTATTGGCAATTGAACTAGGGAAAATTCTAAACTTCCTATGCAGAAGCAAACTTGTTAAGTCACATGTATGAGCGACATTATAATATCTTTTCATTATAAAACTAGACCACTAAAAACAAGATTCAATCAACCCTAAAGCCTTTTGCTCACTTAAAAAATTTGGGATTTGTATAAATCAGTTAAAGACCTTACAGAACTTGTGCAACATGAAGACTGAAACTTATTGCCAAGGATGTTTAGAGGACTGATATTACGCATGCAGAACCTGAGGGACTGTCAACATGCCTATTTAGTTTATTTAATCTATACAAGATAATATGAATAAACTTCTTTGTTTGTCTTTGTTTGCATTTGTGTGTGCTTTCATGTGGATATGTATTTTTCAGTACAGGACCTCTAAGGGGTCATTCATCAAACTAGGGGTGTAACTTGGGTCAGGTTGGATTGAGCATTTGTACATTTTTGAATAGTCCGGACTCTGGAGCCTGAGCCCTGTGTAGTTGATCTTCAACTCAGGCTACTCAACTCGCATGGTTGCACCCCTACCTCAAAACTTGTGATTTAGAAAGAAACAAACATTAATCCTACAAATACTAACTACTAAACACACTAAACTTATTCATATTTCCAAACAGTTTACTGCAATATTGGGTATGATGTATTATAAAAGTAATGTATTTTAAGCAAGTGTATGTACATAATGAATAATTGAATATACTCTTTTGTTAAGCTATATAAATGATCATAGTATCGCTAGTATGTGTCATATGGAATGTGAATGTGTGCAATGCAAGGCCAGATATAGAGAGAACCTCAGGAAATTGAGTGCTTTTCTTAATTAGCAAAAAGTTTTTAATTCATAAAATATTACCATATAACTCATAGGTCATGTATTAGGATCTCAAATATCGTTTCATTATTACCATTATCTAAGCCTCATCCATACTACATGAAGCACACTACATCTTTCTTATCATCATGTGGGCCAACCTCATACTTTGCTCAGCTATTTCAGTCTATGTAAGGCCACATTTTCATTTGAAGCAAAGCCCTTTTTGTCCATTGTTCCATCATGGTCAGTCCTAATTCCTAGTTCCATTCCTATGCACAATATGTTTCTTTTTTGTTCAACACTCTTCTCCATAAGTGTTTTGGAATGGTAGAATACTGATATGTTTCATTCTATTGCCAATGG